CATGTTTCCAATATATACCATATAATAATAAAAATTACCATACAATATACCATATAATAATAAAAATTACCATACAATATGCCGTATAATAATGAAAATAATAAAAGCAAATAAATTAGAGCACCTTCAGAATGAGGGTGTCGGGCGGAGACCAGCATGTTTCCAATATATACCATATAATAATAATAATTACCATACAAAATACCAAATAATAATAAAAATAATAAAAGCAAATAAATTAGAGCACCTTCAGAATGAGTGTGTCGGGCGGAGACCAGCATGTTATTAAATACCGCTACTAGCTGGGCACCGCTACTTTGAAATGTAGCGGCCGCTACATGTAGTGCGCTACTGCCCACCCTGAATATACCGTATAATAATAAAAGCATATAAGTTAGAGCACCTTCAGATGGAGTGTGTCGGGCGGAGACTGGCATGAGATGGAGATCACAGAAGTGTTGTTCAGGCGACCACACCAGCCGTTAGAAGGACCGCTCTGGGACAGCCATAGCAACTGTAGTGTCAGCTCCTGCAGTGAAGAGGTCAGCAGACCAGAACTGTCAGCATACTTATATGCATATGAGACTATTGTAATAAAAAATAATTTAATAAACCTTGTAACAACGGCCACAACAACAGTGCAGACGAAACCATGACAAATTATTGGCGACGAATAAATAATTTTTGAAACGTCAGAAGTAGTGGACGATTAATATGCTTTTGCTAGAGCTCAACAACAAGAGACTAGGGCATATTACGAACATTCAACACTTTGAACTTGTTCCTCTGAATGTTCAGATTTTTGAGCTCTTTCATCTGGGCATGCAACGTTATCAGTTTAGTGGTGACCATTGCTAAACATTCGAAAGGGCGTTCATGGTCTATTCTATGTTATTTTTGTAACCGGTACAAAACTATCGTCACATTATTTATAGCATTTTTCGTTTAATCAGCATTGAACTGGAGCATTTCACCTTAATTGTCGTATCCATGAACCAATTTTAAGACCCACAATTATAAACCACAGTTAGAGGCAGGGTAAGGCATGTCTCAGTGACTGGGAGTGTGTGAGGCGATGGAGATGCCGATACGACTCAAGTCACTCAACCGTATGACTCAAGTCGTATGACTCAAGTCACTCTGAGTCATACGACTCAAGTCACTCAACCGTATGACTCAAGTCGTATGACTCAAGTCACTCTGAGTCATACGACTCAAGTTACTCAACGAACTCACGGCCCCATCAGTCGACTAGCCTACTAGTCGAGTCGAGAACAGCGGTGATTGTCACATGAGTCAGATCCCAAGTTAGAACACAAGAGGCATTTGTCCATTGTTTTGAGGGTCAGACTCGTCAAGGTGTCACCAGTGACACGTAAACTTCATCGCGCACGGTAAAGCTTTTTGTCCTGCCAGCTGATAACTGTCGCAGAACTCGTCGCTGACAGCTTCATCATGACCATGTCACTGCTGCACCATGACCATATCACAGCTACACCATGACCATGTCACTGCTGCACCATGACCATATCACAGCTACACCATGACCATATCACTGCTGCACCATGACCATATCGCTGCTGAATCATGACCATATCACTGCTGCACCATGACCATATCACAGCTTCATCATGACCATATCACTGCTGCACCATGACCATATCACAGCTACACCATGACCATATCACTGCTGCACCATGACCATATCGCTGCTGAATCATGACCATATCACTGCTGCACCATGACCATATCACAGCTTCATCATGACCATATCACTGCTGCACCATGACCGCTGCACCATGACCATATCACTGCTGCACCATGACCATATCACAGCTGCACCATGATCATATCACGACCATATCACAGCCGTACCATGACCATTTCATGACCATATCATAGCTGCATCATGATCTTATCACGACCATATCACAGGCGTCCCATGACCATATCATAGTTGCATCATGACTATAACCATGATATCCTTACCGTATGACTACATCATACGAGAGAGCGCTTGACTGGGCTAACAAGGTTCCGTCGTAACGCGTCTTGTAGCCCGCGCCAGTGCGTGTTGTTTGTGTGTTTTTGTTTGTAAACTTTTGCACCGGCTTCGCCGCCCTACCAAGTGACTCAGCTTCACTTAATCCCTCGCCTCTCCCACCCACTCCATCCGTCACTTGAGCCGCGTACCCCAATCGTATCGAATCGCCGGCGCCATAACAATCTTGGATTGATGTGAGGAGGCAGAGGCCGCCATAACTGCTTCACTTATCGCTACAATCTCTTGAAATGTGCATCAAAGTAGCCATAGTGCGCAAATTGCTCGATTTATCGAATCTTCATCTGTTATTTTAAACGTCATGTTTTAATCTGCATAATCTGAATAATTATCATTTTGTTTTTTTAGGCGCAATACAATGATGCAATGCACCGAATGGGAAAGTCATCTATAAGAGAACTAATATCGATGACCTACTGACTTCTTAAATCTATGAGCTATAATGCTCGGTAAATGCGCACAAAAAACTTCCATGGATTAGGAAATCTTTGCCTGGCCAAAGCGATATTCAGAACAGGGACAGGCGAGAGCTCGTGTAACTGTAGACCGACGCTGACCGCGGAGGAGAGAGAAGGAAGATCCTCATAAAGTAATAAAATCGGCGCACGTTTTCAATTAGGGCACGAAACTATAGAAGAATTGAACGGAAGGAAGTTATACGATTCATAAATTTAGTTCCTAAAATTCGAATGCCATTCATGCAGTTAATACAGAGAACTCGAATACCAATAGAATAGAAGTGTCGGTGTTGAAGAAATAGGCCCATGGCCTGTTGCCGATTCTTGTACTTTTCGTGACTTGATTCCACGAGGGATCCAGCCTCTGGAACCCGATCTTTCCATAATTTACGATTGGTTGAGATAGCTGCTGGACTTATTGCCTGGTCCATAATTTGCTAGGCATTTTAAGACTGAACATATGCTCCTGCATAGCTTCGTCTGGACTTATTGCCTGGTCCATAATTTGCTAGGCATTTTAAGACTGAACATATGCTCCTGCATAGCTTCGTCTAGTCTGTTCCTGAAGGCCTTCATACTCGGAGCGTCAACGATACTATCAGGGAGGCCGTTCCATTGATGCAGTTCATATAGGGAACTCGTACGCCATTCATGCAGTTCAGACAGAGAACTTGTATACCATTCATGCAGTTTAATAAGAGAACTCGTGATCAATTCGTGCAGTTCACACAGAGAACTCGTATATAACACTTATGAAGTTAACATACAGAGAATAAAGATACAATTTCCACAGAGAACTCGTATGCTATTAATATAGTTCACAAAGAGAACTCGGGGACAGTTTATACAATTCTTATATGGAACTTATGTATCATTCAAATAGTTCTTGCTGATTTAGAACTTATTTATTCCGTGTACCGCCGCTCTACAAACTTCCGCAGCAGAATACGTGCCACGCCGACCACTCTCATGTTGTGCATAACTTACTTGCCCCCTGCCTTGACCTGTATACAGTGGGGGGAAATAAATATTCGTACACTTGAAAAATCGTATTTTAATGTATGTAAGTACACAAACTTAACAGGAAAAAAGATTTAAATTATGTATAGAGACGCATAGTATTCAAAAATACTATCAAAAGAAATTAAATCTCAATGCAACAAAAAAACAATGCAACATGTTCACTTTTTCGGGTGAAAAAAGTATTCGTACAAAACAATAAATCCGCATTATTTTAATTTAATACTTGGTTGAATACCCTTTATTCAGCTCAACAGATACCAGTCTATTTCTATACGTCTCGACCAATGATTTGCAGATGCTGACTGGTATTTTATACCATTCTTCTTGGCACACCACCTTNGTATTATTCGTGTAGCCTGACGCGTGGGGGTATTATTCGTGTAGCCTGACACGTGGGGGTATTATTCGTGTAGCCTGACACGTGGGGGCATTAGTCGTGTAGCCTGACGTGCGTGGGAGCATTAGTCGTGTAGCCTGACGTGCGTGGGGGCATTAGTCGTGTAGCCTGACGTGCGTGGGGGCATTAGTCGTGTAGCCTGACGTGCGTGGGGGCATTAGTCGTGTAGCCTGACGTGCGTGGGAGCATTAATCGTGTAGCCTGACGTGCGTGAGGGCATAAGTCGTGTAGCCTGACACGTGTGGGTATTATTCGTGTAGCCTGATGCGTGTGGGTATTATTCGTGTAGCCTGACACGTGTGGGCATTAGTCGTGCAGCCTGACGCGTGGGGGCATTATTCGTGTAGCCTGACATGTGTGGGGGCATAAGTCGTGTAGCCTGACGTGTGGGTATTATTCGTGTAGCCTGACACGTGGGGGTATTATTCGTGTAGCCTGACACGTGTGGGGGTATTAGTCGTGTAGCCTGACGCTTGTAGTTACTAATTTGCAGCTGATTTCATTTTGGTTTTGAGTATGTGGGTGCAATTTTGAAAATAAAACCTCAAAACGCACTTATGTACAGGTGTAAATTGCAAGTGTTGCGCACAATGTTAAAACGTTATAAATTATTGAAGTAGAAAATATAATTTATCAAATTTACGTCTTTAGTTAATGTGCTGCTATATTTCATAAATTATTGAAGTAGAAAATTTTAATATAATTTATCAAATTGGCGGCTTTAGATAATGTGCTACTTTATTTCATGGCCAGCGTCATGTAGAAAATATATCCAATTCTGATCAGGTGATATTTATATCATATTTTATTCTTATCTGGAAGCCTCAGGCCTTTCACACGATATACAGCCCTCGAGACCACTGCTTAAATATTCACCGTTTTATAAGTAAATTTTTGTTCACTTCGTCCGAGCTTAAGGCGAGGAGTGAATCAATTCACTATATACAGCAAATGGTGGTGCAATATTGTGTGATTTTAAATAACATCTAATATAACTGTTCCAAATGCGATCCAAACCGCAGAGCTTCCGTAATGAGGTGTGAAACAGCATTAAACACACCTGCTGGTTTTCCAAGTCCAAATTTCGGAGTGACTCCAAAACGAAGCGTGTTGATTCCAATCGATCTTGCAGCTCTGCAGAAATTAGAAAACATAGAAAACAAACATACAAGAATTGCAGAAGAAAATAATTGTTTTTGGCTGCCATTTAACTACAAAATATTTTACGAGGTAAATCTGACAGCAAGTCAGCAATATTAATAAGAAGAATCATGTAACACGCAGTGCCCGGATGGCTCAGTCGGTAGAGCATCAGGCTTTTAACCTGAGGGTCCAGGGTTCGAGTCCCTGTTCGGGCGAGATGGTTTTTAGTAACCAGCGCGCGCCTAACAGTCCCGCTCCAGGTAACTCGGCGCTATCTTGTGGCACACACTGAATGAGCAGAATTTCAAGCTTGAAAGTCTTGTCACGAATAAAGCTTCACTGTACAAATAAATAAAACTAACTCAACAAAAAAAGCCAGTTATATTATTCAGCAATCAGACATATTAAATATAAATCGCAGCTGAGCGAAGACAGTCTTTGGAATTATTTCCTATAATTTACATTCACACTTCACGATTACTGAAGCCTCGATTCAGGAACCACCATAATTGCAGCTCGCCAAATTCAGTTACTGTATTCGAAACTCACCATATGCAGGCATCATTGCCAAAACTCATGATATTCATCTTCATCATCATCCAAATTCACCATATTCAGCAAGCATCATCAAAAATTAACAATATACTGGACTGTTGAAAACTTCCAATACTCAGAAAACATACTTAAAAAATCGTAACATTCGGACAACAAGCCAGTAAACTTGTTCTTTTCAGCAACAATTTTCAAAACCCACTAGTTCTTTCAAGACTTTGTCGAGGGAAATCCAAAAAAGACGTCAGGCGCCTCGCCAAGCTCGTCAATTGCTCGTGGTAGGGAGCGAGCAGCTCGTGAAGTTCTTGGAGTTGCGTCATCAAAACCTGGGCCGCCTGGTCTGCCAGCTCCGACACGTGTCGACGCACAACCACAGGTGCATCCGGGGCTCTGTAGTGTAGAAAAACTAATTCAAAGACCGATTTGCTATACCTATACGCTCTTATAGTTGTCAGACTGCATCATTGTTAAAGGTTAAATACTGCATAAAGATTAAACTGACTGCATATAGGTTAAACGGGGCCCAATAGTGCCTATGCAATCCGACGAGGGTTAAGGTAAAGTGCAACCGTATGATATTAGTATATGTTGGCAGAATTTGTTCTTTTAAGCAGGTTTCATTGAAGACCATAGAATTTATTTTATTGATCTTAAATAAATAAATAAATAAGAGAAATAAAATAAATTCTCTGATCTTCAATGAAACCTCCATATAATATTATATATGTTCTTAATTTGATTAAGAGATAAATGCTAATTTAGAAGAGTCACACCAGCAGGCATACATGCTATCACAAACTCCGCTTGTGCGGACACCGTAATAAAATGAGCCATTAAAAGAATTGTACGAGTTCTAGTAATGGAGTGGAAAGTGTTGCTCAAATGTTTTACGTGAAACGCAACCAGTGCATTAGGAGAATTAAGTCACTCGTCAGTAGAAGGTATAAAAACACTAAGTTTCATCAAAGGAAAACACGTCTCTGTACTTCTGGATCTTCATCATAAGTTATTACTGGGTTTACGATCACACAAAATTAATATTTTTTATCATATATAATTCGTAATTATTAACGAATTAAAAAAATCAGCCCACTATTGTTCTGTGCGTAACTGATGACATCGGCAATCGGATTGCATTCAAAATGAGAGTAATTACGAATAGAAACAATTCTAATTCCCATCACAAAAAGCCATAACATATCACTCGCATGTTCCTCACATGTCTGCTAATATTCGTTGAAGTGAGAGTACAGCCCGCGGTACTCGGTTCGACAGCAGTGATAAGGACTTCGGTAAGGACTTCGGTTGGGAGACATTCTCAGTGATGTCGTCGCTTAGATCCAGCACACGACTCAGCGTATCTACCTGCAGGTCATATATGGCATTAGATCGATCAACATGAATTCGATCAAAGAAAATTTCGTCAAATTCGAGGAAAAGATCCATTCTCAGTGATATCCTCGCTTAGATCCAGCACACGACTCAGCGTATCTACCTGCAGGTCATATGGCATTAGCTCCATCAACATGAATTCGATCAAACAAAATTTCGCCAAATTCGAGGAAAAGATCTATTCTCAGTGATATCGTCGCTTAGATCCAGCACACGACTTAGCGCATCTATCTGCAGGTCATATAGCATTGGATCGATCAACATGAATTTTATCAAACAAAATTTCGTCAAATTCGATCAAAAGATCTATTTTCAACGATGTTGTCGCTTAGATCCAGCACACGACTCAGCGTATCTACCTGCAGGTCAAATGGCATTAGCTCCATCAACATGAATTCGATCAAACAAAATTTCGTCAAATTCGAGGAAAAGATCTATTTGTTGTGGTTCGATTTAAAATTCGTTTATTTATGAACCAAACGTAAAAAATGTGGAAACATACATAGCCTATACTTAGTAATGCTAGGCAGCAATTGAATGGTTGAATAACCCGTGAGTCTCTGAATTTAATATACGAAACAGAAAAAATAATTGATCACAAATTCTGGGAGATGCTGAGCTCAAATGAATGGTTATGCATGCCATAATAAATGAAGGTTTAACTTATTTGCCTATCGACTCCATTGATTGAAGGATTGATTTATCAAATGACAACAAATGTAAAAATATTTAAACTCGAGATCGTTCAACCCACATCCGGTCCGTTATAGTTGTTATTTATTAAATTTTGTCAAAAGGACTTAGAAGTTTAATAAACGCTTACCATACGCGCCTTCCAACGTTGCGAATGTGTTGTCAGCTGCACCAGCACCGTCCGCTCCAGCCAGCTGATTGAACTATTAGATTCAAAAGCGTTTGGATCAACCATCGCGGCTGACAAAGTCATCAGCGGGGTGGCATGGGTGGCATTTTTTTCCATCAGAGACACTTTAAATAAGTTGCTTCCTGGTTGAAGCTTCGTCGTCGAAGAAGAGTTGCCAGGAATGTAAAGTAACGGTTCGTCAGCAGCATCCAACTCGACCCGAACCGTTGGCCCTTCCCTTTCCTCTTCGAAATATAGGCAACAAGAAAGTTGATCTATAAAGCATATGAAATGACTAACTATCAAAGCATGCCAAAGAACGCACCCAGGCAGCGTTACTGACTGATATATCTAGAGTTATTGCTCACCTATCGCGGGTGTATTGCTTAAACATTCACTTTATTGTACTAACTTCTGATGTCTTGTGTACAGAACACTGCTAGCGCTTCGCTCACACGCATTTGACATGTTTTAATAATCCGATCCCTGAGACTAATATTCTTTCCCATCTTTCGTGGCAACTCTGAGATAAATTGCGCCAATCCACAGAAATCCGTAAGTCATGTTGTTGCTTATTTCCATTTGTTTGACAGCTAAAATATGATGGTTTCTGCTTTTTGAGACATCTAAGGCAAAATATTCGCTCAATTGAAACTTGAAACTTCCATCAGGGAAGTACTCGAGTTGAATAAATTCGTAAATCCTTGCTATAATCTTTCACAATTTTAAATAACGTAATAAATAAATTAAAACTTTATACGTTGCAAGTTTGCCAAGTTCAACTTTAATTTCGATACGCAATAAAATTTACTAAATAATTACCTATTGTAGTTTATATGATTATCGTTCATTGAAAAAAAATAATAATAATAGCAGAGCCTTCCACGCTCTCAGAAACTTGAGAGCTCAAGTCTAAATAGTTTGTCTAACATAACTTTCGTTGCAATTATTATTAACAAAATGCGTCACTTAATTTCTTCCAAGAACTAACCTGTACCGATGAGTTGTAGGACGACGTCTGTAACTAATGGGGATCGACACATCTCGAGATGTGAATAAGTTGGAGCTGAATTGGATGATGCGGTTAATACAAGCTCGACCTTGTAACATTTGTTTTCCTCTTTTTCCACCGGCAGCGAAAATCCCACATCCCATCCGTAAATCCCCACCTGAAAATAAATTGACAAAGAGTTGTAGAATTAATAAAAATTTCAACCCATGTCAGTGAAAAAATTCATTATTTAATTTTAAATTCAATAGACAATATTGAAGCCTATAGAGTTGTCCACATATATGCTGAAATATATATATTTGTCCACATGTATGTTGAATGTATTGAACTTATTGATAGTGATGAGGCAAAAATACAAAATTACATAGCACTAGTCACACAAAGCCGATAATTTCGATGTAATTTTCGATATTTTTTTTAAATTTTAAATTAAATTTTATTTAATTTAAAATTTAATTTAAATTAATATTTTTTTATTCGATATAATTTTCTTTCATTCAACCTAGAATATGAAAGAACACGCCAACTTTAATGATACACGGGCCAGCAATGTCATTCGATATAAATTAGTGTACGGCGCCCGAGAACTAACTAGAAGGCTATATTATGAGTGATGCAGTGGCTATAGCTCCTGTTATTGAAAAAATATAACTCAGTACCCACTGCAGTGAGTGACAGTCGAGATATGAATAAGTCGGAGCTGAATTGGATGCAGTTAATACAAGCTGGACCTTGTAACATTTGTTTTCCTCTTTTTCCACCGGCAGCGAAAATTCCACATCCCATCCGTAAATCCCAACCTGAAAATAAATTGACAAAGAGGTATAGAATTAATAAGAATTTCAACCCATTTCAGTGAAAAATTTAATTTGTTCATTTGAATTTAATAGACAATTCTGCAGCCTATAGATTTGTCCACATATATGCTGAAATATATTTATTTTTCCACATATATGTTGAATTTATTGAATTTATTGATAGTGACGAGGCAAAAATTAAAAGTTACAGTGACCTAGGCACATCAAGCCACGGATATGATCTAATTTTCTTTCATCCAACCTGGAATCAAAGTTATAGTGACCTAGGCACATCAAGCCATGGATATGAACTAATTTTCTTCCATTCAACCTGGAATATGAACGAACACACCAACTTTAATGATACATGGGCAAGCAGTGGCATTCGATATGACCAAGTCTACGGCGCCCGAGAACTAGAAGGCTATATAATGAGTGATGCAGTGGCTATAGCTCCTGTTGTTGAAAAAATATAACTCAGTAATCACTGCAGTGAGTGACAGAGATCGCATTTTCTCGTCGACGAAAACTTGAGGTCACGGACGGACAGACAGACGGAAATGGCGAGCACAATAGTGCATTTCTTCCATAAATGAGAAAATGCGCTAAAAAAGGCCGCTACAAAGAAATACATCGCAAAAGCGTGACGACTGGAAGCGATAGACCTTCCACCATAAATGAACATACAGTATCGCGATCTTGCCATAATCATTTGAACTACTTGACACTTAATTCTGTTTCCGACGACAAATTAAAGGCTTATTGTAGATATTTAATTTCAAGCTCCTCTTATAATTTGATGCATATTACAGCAGGAAAATTGGATTATGATTTAGTAAACAAATTCAAAATTATGTGGATTAACAAAGAAATTACTGTATGAATTAATTATTGGATTAACAAATAAAAATTATCGTATGAAAAGCCTACGGTGTAGAAGTAACTTGATGATCTTAGCGATTAAACGATCTAAATATTTGCTTCGTGTTTCTGAGCGGTAGACCAGGTAGATTAAGTTGGTGTTGAATTGCTTGTTCTCAAAATACATTTTGTATTTATCCTGTTCGCCTGGGGCATACGCGTTGTGTACAATGTACCTATGGTCGATTCATTCAGTTAATATTTTTCGTTTTAGTTTGGTGCTCTTGAGAGTAAATAAATATTTGATACGTATACTTCAATCCTCAAGATTCGTTTGGCCGTGTTCAACTGTTTATATATTATGCCCTATGCTCGACATAAATGGTTGTAATTTTCAGTTAGAACTTTTGTGCAATAGTAATTTTATGTTGCCTTATTTTTCCTATTTTATATTATTTGTTTATTACAGAGACCGATTTTATAAAAAAAATCGACAAACAATTGTGTTTTCAAAATCCTTCGTAACTAACATACGCAACAGTAAGTATAATCCAATTTGCAGATTAGATTGGGTGAAAGATCTATACAAGGTTGATGCGAAATATGGACGTATATAATTTATTCAATTAATTCAACACTTGCCATCGCGCTTATCTTACTCGCATAAATTGACTGGCTGCTATACCGCTCGATCTTTCAGGATAACAACTCATGGCCCGCAATTTATTATTCACAGAGTCACTGAAAAGCGTCCTCTGTACTGCTAACTTACCTTATTTAGATACGGTCTATTTATTATTTTCATGCGGCCAATAGTTGCCATTAAGTCAACTTCCTAATTATACTTTCACGCCACCGAAGTCATGAATATAGGGTTCATGCATCCACTGAAATTAGTCTTATCATTTAACAATCTATTTAAATGATACTATTATTTAACAATCCAGTAAATCATAGTTTTATATCGTAATGGAAGGTTAAATCTTTCTTTTATATCTAGAATACCTAGGTTACTAGTTACGTCTATTCTCATAGAATATTGCCGTGGCATGTCGATATCTGCTAAGGTCATCTCCCGTAAATCAAGGCGCCTTGGTGGGAACTTTTGACCGTAACATTCCTCTCATGCCTGTATAATAAATAGATTAATAGCATGATTATTCTGCCACACTTGCATCGGGTTGCGATCATGCACATAAATACAGATGATAGGGACAGATAGTTTTATTGGCCAAATAACATTAATCGGTCAAAATGCCTAATCTAAATAACAATATTCTCTTTAATTATTCGGACGAACCTTCACTTGGCGTCGGCTGCCTCCATGACTCGCTAAACCAAATGTATTGTGGAGCTCCAGGCGAACAAACGGTTTTGTAATCTGCAGAGATGAGAAAAATTTTAATTAGCAGTTGACGCAAACGTACAAAATAATACGTACACTAGGGCACACAAGTGGTACGTATTAAAATTATTGCATCAATTATTCGTTTAAAGTTGCTCTACTCTTAGAAAAAATAAGACAACCGCTCAAATGCTCGTATAGTTTCATAATTTTATGGGGCTCTAGTTATTAAAATCTGAAAATTGTTTTAATCACCACCTATTTTAAGCGCATTTTCTCGTCTATGGAAAAAATGCACTATTGTGCTCGCCATGTCCGTCCGTCTGTCTGTCTGTCCGTCCGTCCGTGACCTCAAGTTTTCGTTGACGAGAAAATGCGCTCTCTGTCACTCACTGCAGTGAGTACTGAGTTATATTTTTTTATAGATATGAAAGTTATTATTAATACATTTACGTTTCAAGACGTATTTACTTTCAGGGCTCATTCTAGTTTTGTGTGACTGATAGTGCATTTTTATTAGGCTCTGAATTTATGCGGTGTCATTAAATTTTGTATTCTGCATATAAATGTTGATTTTTACAATTAATGCGGCTTTCAAAAGACTATTCTAATGTGGTAGTCCTCGGTTTGTGTTTTTCAATTATTGTATTACACAACCTATCAGTAGCTTTGTACTATAGGGTCATATTTTTCAATACATTTGAATTAGTTTTACGTTCTTTCAAGCAGATTCTCCGAAGGCTTCAATTTTTCAATTATTGTATTACACAACCTATCAGTAGCTTTGTACTATAGGGTCATATTATTCAATACATTTGAATTAGTTTTACGTTCTTTCAAACAGCTTCTCCGAAGGCTTCAATTAAGCACCTAAAAACTTCAACAAGATTAGTAATTTCTACATCGTGCGTGGAGACATCACAGCAGGACTGAGGTAAGACGCCTCGCGAGCATCGTTAATTTTCTCTATTAACCAAATAAAGTTACTATGTAAGAAGTATTTTCTTTTGGAAATATTATATATCACAACATTCCATCTGCTATATAGGACCCGTTTCCCATTCGGGTGACCTTCGTGTACATAAACTTCTTGTGAATGCGAACTTACATTCCTCATCAGTTGAACAAATGCCTTCAACGCATGATTCTGCCGAATCAAGCGTTGAAATACTTCTTACATACTTCCATGTATTCATGTATGTAATACATGTAATACAAGAAGTATTTCAGCATGCGTTGAAATACTTCTTACATACTTTCATGTATTCATGTATGTAATACATGTAATACAAGAAGTATTTCAGCATGCGTTGAAATACTTCTTACATACTTTCATGTATTCATGTATGTAATAATCTAATAAATGTAATACAAGAAGTATTTCAGCATGCGTTGAAATATTTCTTGAATCATTCTTAAGAAAATATCGAAGTTGCGTATCAGGTACAAGTAACAGCGAGCTATTCAGCTTCACGCGAACATATCATGGCAAAGGTCACGCAAACTACTACTCCAAAATTGAAGCCCAAAAATTACTCCGAAAAAAATTTCGAAGCTCTAAGTAGGATCTTTATTTATGTTTTCTTATGTCGATTTAAAATCTCATTATTCAATTTATCTCATTACTTGATAATGAGTTTTGATGTATCCCAAACGTTATTAATATATTAAAAATCTCTTTCGGTAAACTAGTAATTTTCGATCTACCAAAACCGGAAAAAATATTTCGACTTGTATGAAAAACGACAATTAAACTTTCAAAACATCTCATTCTCTGGACTGCAATTAAACTTGTTTAAATTTAATAATTCTATCATCCTATAATAATTTTTTTCAACTATGCTGAAATGGTACTTTTTGAAGCCCAGAAACTAAAGGAGATAGATTAAAACTCTTTAAAATTTTGAATTCAGCACACTAAAATTAGCCAAAACCTATGCTACCCCTAAACTATCTGTGCCAAAATGTATTACTTGCACATGCCTCACACGAAAAATTTATTATAATTAACCATTATTATCAAAGATATTCAAGCTACAAGCCGTCTTAAGTTTTGAAATTAAATATTTTCGGCACTAATAATCCAATTATCTGAAATTTAATAATTAATCGTCATATTATTTACGTTGATTAAGGCTTTCCAGTATAATTTCACTGAGACTAATAATTTCAGTACGGAATGAAGCTTCTTTACTGAGTGGATTCTACTGACGACAAATTTATTTCACGAATAGAGCAGATTATTGGAAAATGACCCCTGATAGGCATGCGCCTCCTCTAAAAAATTCAAAGTCTGAATTAAAATTAAAATTTGTAAGATCTGGAGCCAATACCAGAGCTGACCACCCACCTCACCAACGATGAACTTCAAATCAGTTGGTTTCTTAGAAAAACTCAACGCTGTCTCGAAATACTGATCCGTTCCCGATGCCTGTAGGACAAAAATTAAAAATTCCTTGTATATTTTCTAAAACGATTAAATGACAAATTTAGTACTAATATTAAAATTCTGTATTCTGCACCAGCAACCTAACAATGACGGGCAATAATATACTAAAACAATGTTAACAATATACCCGGAAAGTCTGCTAACACCAGCCTTACACCCATTGACCTCCTACATTATCCGAAAAGAGCTACATGAAACCATCGAATTCTCCCAAAAAATTGCATCTCCAGCTGATTCGCAACAGGAACCGAACCGCCACAAGAAAATTTGTCGGAATTTTTAAATTTAACGTAGTATGCACTGTAATTTCCTACTGCAAATGTGCAAATAAAATGTATAAAACTTATTTGTCAAGTACACTATCCTCACTATCCTCACACTAACACTATCCTCACAAAACCCTCATAACCCACACCACGCATACTCACCATCAACTGACACGGGAATTTCATTGATGCCGACACTGAATGCTCAGCCTCAATTTTCTTGATGTAACCACCGATCTTGATGAGCAGAAGGCCAGAAGACGGATAACGAATTGCTTGTTGCTCCTTGGGCCATTCGCTTGGCGAGGTCAAGTTGGCCAGCAACGGAAGAGGCTTCATTGGTATATTATTTTGAAGCGTAATGTCAGTACGCGCAGGATTTTGACCCCTCACATGTATGTCGTAATCACCCAGTGCTAAAAGGTTCATATCGATGAATTTATTCGTATTATTTGCATGAGGAGGTTCCAAAATTTCAAATTCTTCAACCTGACCTGAAGAATCAACGTTACTGTGCCAGTTCTGGTGTCGTTTATGTTGTATCTGTTTTCCAGGCGCAGGCATTCCGTCTGGGTCGTAATTTTTTCTATCGTGATATGAATCCAAACTGCGGTCAAAACGACGTTTTGTGAAAAATTTTTTATTATCAATCGTCAAGTTGGTTACAACACTTTCTTTGTACTGTCCAGAAGATATTTTTCGAAAATTTGAACTGTCACGAACAATCAAACGTCCTAATACATTATTTTCATAGTTTATTATTTGAGTTGGGACGATATTAAAAGTTTCGTTCGTGATTGCCGAATTTGGAGCAAATCTTCTTTTTCTTGCAACATGGAACTTTGTGCTCGGATCAGATGAAAGATCAGCTGAGTTACTTGCGTTCACGAGAGCGTAGTGAATGAGGCTGAATTCTGCTTGCGCATCCGACTCATTTCGTGCGATGGTGAACATACCAACGTAAGAATCCTTCTCAGTCTCCAATACCAATTCTGGAAAAGATAGATAAAATGTTAGGACTGGTAAGGACGTAAAATTAGCTCCATAAACATAATTCCATGACTATAGATTCCTGCATTATTTTGCTCAAATCTGGGCTGGGATTGCAAGTATTAATTCCAGGGATAATCTCGATCATACAACTTAGATTCTTCAATTGAGAAATAACACGGCACCGAATAAGAGAGGTATGTTGCACTCTTGAAAGATAATATTGGATCAGATATGTACAGATATCCTGAACTTCTAAGAACCATGGAGTAACTAACCCGAGTGAGAGGTTAGGTTAGGTTAGGATAGGTTAGGTTAGGACCTGACCTAAACTAACCTAACCTAACCTAATCTAACCCGAGTGAGAGATGACCCAGGATCATATGTTCGGTCTGACCTGAGACGTGCGATGATCCCAGAACTCTGGTGGAGGCTGCCAACTTCAGCCGAGACGTTACGGTTTCGTCAAAAGCTGGCCTGCTCTGGATAACCAATTTTCACAGGTTACGATGAATTGCTAAATTTATCAATTAATTACTATAATCTCTAAATATTTAACATGCGTCAAACAGTCTGGGAGGGCATGACATAATCTTGCAGTTAACTGGCTGGACGCATCGCTTTTTTAATTCATCTAGACTTGAAGATTTGTGGCTCAAATAGCCTTGATATTTATACTATTGCATTGTCTATTATTACGCAAATTCGGTCCATCTCCAGTAGTAACTATTAATTCCTACTGGGTAACTAATGGTTCCCCAGTCATGTACAAACCTGATTAGTTTAAATATTATATCAATGAATATAACATGGAATTGTTTGCCCTCCTAGCTTTGACGTCTTTTCGAAGGCTCAAGGTTCCCAAACATTTCACAAAAGCGATAAGCGAAATACTGCGCGGCGTACAACCGTTTCTGATCAGCAATTTTGTGGACCACTGATGTTTTGTTCTGTTCCACCCCCATCCTCAACAATCCGACTGAAATCATCTTCCTATATAGCAACTTTGTCACGTCAGTCCCCAGTCATTTAACTTCAATGGTACACCAGCCTAACGTATCTCTTATCAGTCTTTGTTCGCCTTTCGTCGGTCATTTGCTATCTTCATCAACCGTACACCAGTCGGACATGTCTCTTAATTATCAGTCTTCGTTCGCTTTTCGTCGGTATTTTGCTATCTTCATCAGCCGTATTCAAGTCAGGCATGTCTCTCATCAGTCTTTATTCGTTTTATGTCGGTCTTTTGCTACTTTACAGCAGTAAAATATAATATATACTATGTGATGCAAGCCTGCCATCATGCTTCAGCCCTCTTATGCAACACGACCAGCCTGCCCCAGCCCTTGTTAGTATCAGCTGTTAGCTCCTATCATCTTGAAATTGTGAATAGATAGGTTTTGTGCCCTATTACTTGTAAATTTAAGTTTTTAATTGTTAGTTTATGATCCTAAATTTGTGATGTCAAACTTGCTTGGGGTTTGTGCAGCCGCAATGTGACGGCCCTGCCGTCTGAGGTGTGCAGGTTGATAGCCGACAGCTCGGCCTCGTAAAGCAGCTTCTGTGAAATCGAGGCGCCGAAGTCGGCCGGAAGTTTACTATCATCGCTTAAAACGTAACTCCTGACGGCTGTTTGGAATTCCAACACGTCACGTCGGTGTTCGTCATCGTCAGCTGGCAAAGGAGAAATTATTCGTATAAATTAAAATCTGAACTAAGATTTTCTGTATAAAATTAAGTGCATGAATGAGAAGGAACAAGCATTAGTTACAAATATCAGAGCCGGTAAACTTTGCACCGAACCTATTATTGAAATTTGATCTGAATTTCAGAGTGCAATATCGTAATTGTAAATGATCGAGATGATCCACATATAAAGTGTGTGAAAATATTTTATGTTCCTTCTAATCAAATTTGACAAACAAATTTATTCCATTAATCAAATTCTCTTTTTATTAATAAAATTCTCTTTCAACGCACAGAAAAATATATGAACTCCAAAAATATTTTTTACCAAAAAGTAAGTCAAATAACCAGTATATCGTTCAAAAGAGGATATATCTTAACCTTAACGAACAATCTTACCGAACTTAACCCGTGCTTGCATTGAGAACTGGCTGGGTGTAATAGCGTCTTGCTCCCGTGGCACAAACTCTTGAGGTTCACCATCGTCGGCGGCAGCGGTCTTAGGAAGCAACTTGACGACTCCATTGAACTCCAGGGCCCATACTTTCAGAAAAAGTTAAGAGATCGTAAGTTCATCAGCCAATCATTGACGGCCTCTCAAGCAAAATCCACCAATCATAGACAAGAAAATAGAGCGTAAGTACTTACGTTCACTTAGCGAGTTTTGAAAGTATGGACCCAGGTCTTGCTCCGTCCACTCGAGTCTCCCTTCAGCCTTCACGTGTAGGCCTGAAGTCTCCATGTATGGCCGCAGCGCCGCGACCTCGAAAGATTCTGATGTGTCGATGAGGCACTCAATGGCCTGCACAGATAATAATTAGCTCTCAATGGCCTGCACAGATAATAATTAGCTCTCAATGGCCTGCACAGAAAATAATTAGCACTCTATGGCCTGCACAGATAATAGTTAGCACTCTATGGCCTGCACAGATAATAGTTAGCACTCTATGGCCTGCACAGATAATAATTAGCTCTCTATGGCCTGCACAGATAATAATTAGCTCTCTATGGCCTGCACAGATAATAATTAGCTCTCTATGGCCTGCACAGATAATAATTCGCTTTTTATGACATAAACAGATTATAATAACGTTTGTGTGTTCACCTGATAGTTGCTTCACGTTTCAATCAGAGCTCTTTTGCAACTGCTAAAAAATATAACTCAGTACTCACTGCAGTGAGTGAAAGAGAGCGCATTTTCTCATCGACGAAAACGTGAAATCACGGACGGACGTACGGACAGTCAGACAGACAGACGGACATGACGAGCACAATAGCGCCTTTTTTCCATAAATGAGAAAATGCGCTAAAAAGATAGTCTTATCATTCATACCCGCGTAATTTATTCATATTCCCTTCATTTGAGGCCAAATTGTCACGTGGTTCAGGAAAAATCTTGCTCCCCCTAGTTAATGTTATTGAGGCTTAGGTATCATCAGGCCACAAGCGGTGGGTTCACCTTCACCGTATCTCGTGAAAATTTCCCGCGATTCCACTTTATTCCTGAAGCAACGCTTGCCCGCTGCACACATGTAAATAACCATTTGTTGAATGAACTATTCAGCAATGTTCATTAATTACTATGGAATATTTTAATTATTTATCTGCAGAGGTGGGCAGTAGGGCGCTACATGTAGCGGCCGCTACATTTTCAGTAGCGGTAGCGGAGCGACATTTAAGCAATTGTAACGGTAGCGGTAGCGCCCGCTACATTTAGAGCATGTAGCGGTAGCAGTTTTCAAAGTAGCGCAACATTTCACGGCGCGACATGCATTTAAGCAATATAATATATAACGGTAGCGGTAGCGCCAGCTACATTTAGAGCATGTATAGCGGTAGCAGTAGCGGCCGCTACATTTCAAAGTAGCGCTGCCCAGCTCTGTTCATCTGAGTGTATCTAGATACCAAATTGAATATCTTCCGTGTATGTCTAGCGATGACTCACCCTGGGGTGACGAGCGACGACTGCCCTGAAGAAGGAGCGCCGCGCTACAAGACGCTGGCCCGCGTACTCCTCCAGCAGGTCGCTTACTTGGGTGCTGCCGCCCCCCTCATCCACGCGGCTCACCAGCCTGCCATGTACATTATCGCTGGCACCCATCATCCATAACCAGCCTGCCTCACAAACCTCACTTGCTCCCATCATCCAAAACCAGCCTGCCTCACAAGCCTCACCTGCTCCCATCAGCCATTATCAGCCTGCCACATTCAGCCTCCCTTCTCCCATCATCCATCACCAGCCCACAACTTTCAGCCTCGCTTCCACCCGTCATCCATCACCAGCCTGCCAAACATTAGCTCTACACTCATTCTTATCTCCTGAAGTGTGCGCAATGATCTAAGTACAATTTGTACCCCAGCTTTCAAAACCTTGGTCGGACATTTTCTCCAGTCACACTATCGCAAATATTAATTAAACTTGCATTAATAATTAACTCATAACTAACCTAAATGAATCAATGAACTTTTATCGACTCTCAACATCGAGACGAAATTTTTCCTCTAATGCTGACCTAATATTTATTGAGCAATTAGTTTACTTGAAAATTTTTCTTCCAACTGCAATTGTTTAATGCCACATTTTCGTTTTTGCGTCACCATCAAAGTGATCATTCCTTCTGACTGCGCAAGCAGCGGCCTGGCCGAATATTGCCTTACGTACACC